TACCTAGGGAGGTGGTGGAATCTCCTTCCTTAGAGGTTTTTAAGGTCAGGCTTGACAAAGCCCTGGCTGGGATGATTTAGTTGGGAATTGGTCCTGCTTTGAGCAGGGGGTTGGACTAGATGACCTCCTGAGGTCCTTTCCAATCCTGATATTCTATGAACAGTGTGCTCTCCTGAGTCTGAAATGCTTTGGTTGAACTAAAGTCATTGGGCTCAACATAGGGGAATCTGAGTGAACTATAGTTGCCTGTGATATACGGGAGATCAGACTGGGTGACTTGGGGTTCCTTTCTCGTCTGAAACTCTGGTAAGTTCCAAAGGACTGAGCAAATCTTTTCTTCAGAAGGATTCTTATGAAGTGGTCAATATGAGAGCACTTTAACAACAGGGCCAGGGCCCTCTGACTGCAGTCCCTGGGGTGGATCATGTGCAAGGAAAAGGCCCATAACTTATCAGCAGATGTGGCAGCATTCACCCCTTTTCAGGGTGGCAGGTTGCAAGAGGTGGGCCTGGGAAGCCTGATTTCTGGCATCCAGAGCAAAAGCACCAATTTTCCATTTCCCAGAATTGCTCATGGGACCATGGAGCATTTTGATTCATTTATAGGATTTTATTTGCATGTGGGACTTGTGGCCAGACTCTGTTGTCATCCCCGGCATGGTGCCATTTAAAGCCCCAACCGATGACTTGGATTTCTGAAAAGACTCTGTTACTGTTCCTGTATATTGGCGAAAGGCTGGTCTGGTTGTTCAAGCACAGGACTGGGAGGTAGATGATCTGTTTTCAGTTCCTGGCTTTGGCACAGGTTTTGTGTGGCCTCGAGCAAATCTTGTAACCTTACTGCCTCAGTTTCCCCCATTTGTGATAGAGAGAGTAATACTTCCCTACATTGCAGTGGTGGTATGAGAGTCAATATTTGAAAGTACTTTGAAATCTATGAAAAGACCCTTATGGAAAAGTCCCATAGAATTTAATAGAGATGTTACCAATAGGATTCCATATGAAATTAGTACAGACCTATAAAAATGACACTGAAAAACAATGAGATTTAATAGAGAATGAAATCCTTTCCGTCGGGTTCTTGGGTTTTTTTTGTTTTGCAATCTGCTGAAGAATGCAGTAGCAGGGCTACTATTCTCCACTGAATTTTATAGGATTGTTCCAAAAAATCTATAGAGATTTTCATTTTCCATTAATCTCTGTAGGGTTTTCCAGTGCAAGTTACTATTAATATAAATATTACCGCTGTGTAATGTCCAGTGAGTTGTATTTAATCAAAGAGGGAGTCCAGAGGTCCATGGAAAGGGTTCTAGTTCCGTCTGCTTAATCAAAATAGTCTTTCTTTCCAGTGACTAGGGCACATGGACAAAGCCAGCTCATTGATGGGGTGAAATGTCCTACCTGCTCTAAGTGGCCCCAAAAGGCAAACTGATGATGCAGCAGGTAAGTTTAAATGTGAGTGCTCTTGATAAGGACTCTCGGAGCTGAAATCAATCTACAGGGTCATTACAAAAGAACCAGTAAAACAAGGCACGTGAATTAGGATAACTCTTGGAAACCAAGAAGCCCAGCTTGGTACGTACTGGGATCTACCCTGTATACTGAATCTATGGCAGGGGATTGAATTTGAACTGATTATATTTGAAATTCTCTCTCCAGACGTCCAGTTCCAAAAGTCTTTGCATGGCTCTTCTCTAAGGCAAATTAAGAGTCTCCCAGCCTGAGCAGGGTAGGAATATGCACCAGAATTTAGCGTGT